AGAGTGTGAGAGAGGTAGAGGGAGACAGGAGGAAGCAAAGGTGTGAGGAATAGGATAACCATTCCGCAAGATTCTTGCGGGTCTCCACTTGTATTCCTCTAATACCAAAGATGCTGAGGAAATTGATACAAGAAAAATTAACCCTGATCTGCATACCCTTCAGCAGGCCTCTCAGACCCTGGTATTCAGCATTAGTGATCAATGGAAAATTGTAGACAGATTCCAGTTGGTCTGGCCATGCTTCAGAAAGGGCCGCTGTGGCACCCAGATCCAGCATGGCTACATCTGACTACATGGAAATTTAAAAGGAAAGACACCAAAGCCCAGGCTATTCTGCAAGAACCTCAAGTATCATGCTAGTTTTTAGAAGAGTTTCAACATCAAGAATTTATAACTTTTCATGGAAGGCACATGCCAGATGGGGCAAATGGAAGCACCTAGACCTGTTCTCCCCTGTGTTACACTAAATCCTGGAGTTCCTGCAAATGTCTAGAGCACTAATACATCTGAGGCAGTGCATCTCATGTGCTTACCAAGCTAGCAAGCTCCAGGTACCACCTGGAACCACAATTCGCTGTATTAGTGCTACAACTAACACAGCAGTGGATGCTGAAGCTTCCATTGAGGAAATCTTAAGATGGCACTGTGGTCATCTCTATTGACCTTCATCAGGCCCTACAAAATGGATATCCTTGCTCAGCTGGCAAGAGCCTTCAGAAGGAGGGTATTACAGAAAGTGGTGCAGGTGAATTGATTTTCTCACCTTTTGATGTCACGTATCAAGATGCCCTCCTCGTCAGAGGGAGAAAGTAACTTTGGCACTTACTATGAGGGTTCCTTCTGCTCTGAGGGAGGGTATCTTCACAAGGTGTTTTCTCTTTGTTAATGCCTTCTTGTTTCCTGTCCTGTTTTCTGTTTCCTAAAATGTTGAATGATTTACTTAGAGAGCAATCCTAAACAGGTCTACTGAGAATCCTACTCAGGTCTATTCAGCAGGGCTTAGTCCCAGGAAAGTGTTCTTAGGATTGCAGTTAGTATTGCAAAAGTACTGGAGGATTGCAGAAGTACTGCTTCAGGAGTTACCAAACTGAGGAAAGTGGGTGACTCTGTCCTGGAGACAGGAAGCATGGAAGAATTTTAGTCCTGTCTTCTTCATAGAATCATAGAATGTTAGAGTTGGAAGGGACCTTGCAGGTCATCTAGTCCAACCCCCTACACTCTGCAGGAGCATAGCTAAAAGATAGCCCTACATACCTACAACATACCCGAAAGATGGTCGTCCAGCCTCCGCTTGAAAATGTCCAGCGAAGGAGCATCTACCACCTCCCGAGGCAGACTGTTCCACTGCTCAACCGCTCTAACCGGAGCAAGAGAGTAGATCTCCTCCATCTTCTACATGACAGCCCTTCAAATATTTGAAGACTGCAATCATGTCCCCTCTAAGCCTTCTCTTTCCCAGTCTAAACATACCCAACTCTTTCAGCCTTTCCTCATACGACTTGGATTCCAACCCTCTCACCATCCTGGTTGCCCTCTTCTGGACACGCTCGAGTTTGTCAACATCCTTCCTAAAATGTGGTGCCCAAAACTGGACACAGTACTCCTGACCATAGCAGAATAGAGCGGAACTACCACCTTCCTTGATCTGGACACAATGCTTCTGCTAATGCATCTTAAGATTGCATTAGCTTTCTTCACAGCCACATTGCACTGCAGGCACATGTTTAGCTTGTGATCAACCAGAACACCTAGATCCCTTGATGGACAGATGGGAATCACCCATGTCAAGATGCCCTCCCTTCCTCAGAGCAGAAGGAATTCTCATGGTAAGTGCTGCTGTTCCTTTTTGGATAACCAGAACTACTCTGCATACCAGTGTCTCTTATGGGGAGCACAAACCCTTTGTTCCTGATGTATTGTGAGATCCTTGTCCATGCTATAGTGGCTAGATTGTTGGACAGGGACTGATCAGTATAAATTCCCACTCTTGCTATACAGTTTACTAGGTGGTCTTGGGCCAGTCAGTCTCTCTGAATGAAACCTACCTCATAGGATTATTGGGAAGATAAAATGGGAGAGAGGGAAGCAATGAAATCAATAGATATGGCTGCTGCAAGCAGGACTTTGTGGCACTTTCCTTTAATTTGGGCCACATAGCCAAATGCCTTCTCTTTGTTAAAAACAACAACAGACGTTGGTCTTAGGATGCCCATGGGCATAGTAATAGTTGATTCCCCCACCCACACTGCTGGACTTACCAGGAGTTAGGGCTGCTGGTAGTAGTTAAGTCTTCTTGGTTGTAAAAAATGCTTACTACCAATGATATGTTGTTATGCGCGCGAACATCTGGTCACAGATGCTTTCTCATGCGTGGCAGTGCTTGCTGACAGATGCTGCTAATAGATTCTGTGGTGCTCAGTTGCATGAATGCCTTGACAGAAGACAGTACTGGCACCATTAATACTACTATCCCACAAGGTTGTTTGTAGCCTTAGTATCAGCAAATCATGTGAGATAAGAGGTTACCTATCCTGTTTCAGCTCCTTGTACCGAACTCTGGAAATGGTCATGGCTGTCTTCATTTTGTGTGAAAAAGTATCCTATGACAGTTTTGTCGAAGAGTCTTTGGAGAGCTCTGGAGCCTTTGTTAGTTGTTCCAGCCCCGCAGCTGCCAGTTGATGTCAATAAGCCTTCCCTTGAGGAAGAAGTCCTTTACAGCTATTTGGATTTTAAGGCTCCTCGGAGCAGGCCATTGGTTTGTTATGAATGCAGTTGCCAGGAGCTCCAGAGCTACAACTCTTTTGACTAAAACAGAACAAATAGCAGCTGTGATTAAAATTTAGCACCACTTGTTCCTGCCCAGAGTCATGCATTGTTTTCATAAATGATCAGCCATTCATGTCCTCTCCCCCGCCTTCCCTCAAACTCCTTCCGCTTCCTCTACAAATATGTCCAGAGAGTGAGCTAGCACAATGCTTTCAGGACAGGTAGCTAACAGAGTAATTTATGTTTGTGCTCTAAGTGGATAGAACAGTCAGTAACACTTTGCAGAGGAGTTCACTCCTGGATCAACAGCATGCTAACTTGTTTAACATGAATCTGGTAGGAACTAGAGACGGATCACTGTTCTGGAATATGCCCAGAAAATGTCACAACAACAGGGTATGAAGGCTTGTTCCCTTCCATAAATTGTTCTGGCTTCCTTTTCCAAGCAAAGAGGTATTGCAACTGAGCCATTTAGTAAACAGGTGGCTGCTCTATGTCTCTGCCGTAAACTCTCCCCCTCTGTGTGTGTGCGCATGTGTATGTGTGTGTGAATAAAATTGAACTCGTATGTCACGTTTTGGCTGACTGCTGTTCAGAGGCAGGGGATCTCCCTTAACAGGCTTGTGTGTGGCTGCAAATGTCCCAGGCAGCCTCTAGGTGATGTGGGACAGCAAGGAGAATGCATGAAATAAGAGCTGTATTGGGGGGGAGGGGGAGAAATTGCTTATTATTCATCCAGCTCTTTTATTCCCCCCCCCCCTCTTTTCTAGTGTGGCATCTTTTTGGGAGCTCTGCTGCTTATTTTCTGCTCCTGGATGACTCATCAATCCTGTATGTTCCTAGTGAAATCAGCCAATCAAAGCAAACGCAGGACCTATCCCGGGCTAGGTGAGAATGGTCAATGGGGGGGTGGGGGGTAGTTTTGTGTCTTGCTTTTTACTCCCGTTGTATGATTTACAGTTCTCATACTGGTGTAGCTAAATTATTCACATTATTCTAGAGAAATATATCGGTTATTTCCTCAGACTGCTTGTTCCTCTCCTCCTTCATGTGACAGCAGTCCCGTAGCACAAAGATTTAACTCTTTGAAGAAAGATTGGAATGGCTTTGAGTGCCTGGACCAGGAAGAGGAGAATGGTCCAAACATAAGCTCTTAGAGAGCTGGCATAGTGGGTGTCTGCTATAAATTATTGGTCTTTGCCCAAAACCCACTCATTTTCCCCGCCCTGCATGCTGCCGAGGACATTGGGTTCTGCCAGTACAGATCCTGGCATGGAGTGTGGGCTCCTTGGATCGTGTGCTTGTGGCAACGCAAGGGTGGGGGGAGGTTAGTGGAAACAGTATACAGGGCTTAAAGCGGCCAAGAAAGCTGAAACATCTGCAAGATTCATGTGTGGGTTTTTGGCAGAGCCCAGCATCCCTCTTCCTCATAGTTTGTCTGCTGTGCCTTGGCGCCAGGATCGCCATCTATTTTTGACCTCTCCTCTGATTCCCAAGGATTTGGGTGGGGGAGGAGACGCATGGATAGGGCTGAAGAGTGGAGCCTTCCTGATCGGTATGCTCTTCCTCTTGCTAGAGAACAAGTCATGAGCTGGGTGGAATGGCCCCTCTCAGGGGTTTCTCTTAAACTGTTGCTTCTTGAGCAGCAGCAGCAGCAGCAGCTCTGCTGTACATTTCAGTTTGCTTGTTGCAAGAGGTGGGGTTTGTCCCTGGGGATGGCAGAGGTGAAAGATTCTCATGGCAGGACATGCTGTTTTCTGCCCTTCCACAACCATAGCCCTATCTTACATTTCCTGAGTTGCCTCTGGGGGAGTCAGAGTGGGGAACTGGTCAGTCTCCCTGCCTGCAAAGGGTTTAAAGAAATATGCAGCCTCCTTATTGGCTGCTGACAAATGGATACACTCAGTTCCTTTGTTGCCTGAGGCTCCTTCAGTTAGCGGTATAGTACAGCTACTGCAAAATATGTCTGTTGGCAACACCCCCTCCCCCCCAAAAAAATCCCTCCCGTGTTCCTGAAGGTTAAACCTTTGCTATAAAACAACAACAACAAAAAAGATACGCCTATAACTTGTCTTCCTGTGGGTTGGGGGGGGAGTCAAATGTAGCTCTTTATGCCCTTCTCCAGATGCCCGCAGTCCTTGATTTCCCTTTCTGTGTTACAGTGAGTCTTTGTATACTCCTGCTCCTTTGCCTGAATACATAGAGTCCCATTCACCTTGGAGTGTCTCCCAGTAAGAAGAGGTCCCCTTCACTTTCCAAAACTAAGCAGCTTAGATACCCAGAAGAGCCAATAAAGGCTTCCAAACTATCTGGCCCACAAACATTGGTGCAGAAAGAAATGGTTTCCCTTTCTGCCTGCCTTTGGTCTGGGAGAGATGCCATCAGACCGGGTAAGGAGAGTGCCTGGGAAAGGCATCCTTGCCCCCAATGAAGGCAGCACTACTTCAGTCATCCTCATGCATCAAGGTTGAGCAGCTACACACAGCAGCCTTTGTCACTCGCTTTCTTCTACACTGGTCCAGCTGCAAGAGATACTGGCAAAAGCAAAGCTGATTCTGTGGGAGGCATTGGCAGCTTTGAAGGGTGTAGGAAAGTTTTACAAATTAACTTAATCTAAGCAGTGTCTTCCGGAAGAACATTCAAAGCTCTTGCTGCAAGAGCCAAAGGGGGAGTAAAACAATAGAAATAAACACCTCTGAATATAAAGGAGGAGGAGGAGAACACTTGATGTGCATCAAGTCCAGCAATTCAATAGCACTTCTCTTTCAGAAAACAAGCACCATCTTTAAAATTATACACTCTGTGGTTGTAAGTTTTGGTGGGCTTTGATCTGATGATTTAAAACAAACTAATTAACCATTTAACGCAAAGTTTCCTTTTCATTTTTCAAACATAGAGGAAATTCCAATGTATTCTCACTTGCCTTGCTTGTGAGTTTATATTCTTTTATATCTGTGAAGAGTACCCTTGAATATCTGTTCCTGATATATACCTATTTACCCTTATTATTATGACACCATTAGCAGAGGAATATATGCACCACAAGAGCCTCTACAGACCATCTCCTTCCCTGTATACTATCAAATAGGAACTGGGTGTTCATTTAACACTACCATTTATTTGCCAGATTCAAAGACAGCATCATTTAGTGAGTACAGCAAGTGTTCCTTAATTAGATACCAACTTTCCTAGAGATTTACCAAAGTTTGTGTCTACCTCAAAGAAGTCAGTTTATATTTCTGTAAGCTTGGAAAATTGGCACCTGGGGAATTTCTTTATATTTTTATCTGTTTTAAAACATTATTCATGCCATTTGTAAAGGTAATGGATAAACTTACTGTTCTGAAACATATAAGGGATGTTTATGTGTGAAATATATATAACATTTATACCTTGCCTGAAATACTAAGCATGGTTGTTCATTCAATACTGTCCCCCCCGTTACAAAATCCCAATACAGAAATCCGAATATGGATACATGTTGTTACCTGCCTGATGCCTTTGAGATAATTGAATTCAGATGTTAAATACCTGAAGCTAAATGTTTGTTCCATCAGTCGTCTGTACTAGTTTCTGTGCCACCAAAACATTGCACAAGATACTGGGTTATATGGAAGCAGTGACTGCAGAGGTAGTTAGAATCAGCGAATCACAGAGTTGGAAGTGGCCATACAGGCCAACCCCCTGCTCAATGCAGGATCAGCCTAGAGTTGAAACAGACCAGTTGGTAATGCAAGAATGACAACAGTGAATGTAGTCCTTTCCTGTATAAGATAATGAGTGAATACTGTTGTTTTGGTCAAGATATTGACTGAAAGCCACCACCATTGGTACCCTGTAAACAAGATGAAATCTTGGCTTGGACCCCTTCTGATATTATTTATAATACTGACTGGTACAGTCTTATGAGTCAGAACCACCTGAAGGCATGAGAACACATGTCATGAGAACTGGAATACATCTTTCCTTCTCCAAAGAAAGTCTTGTGCATAACAAAATGCTCAGGGGTTCTTCTATTTAGAATTATTTTGTGTATTGTCATACTCTGATTTCATTTTCATGCATGTTCAAACATGTATGAGACCTGTCAAAATGCTTGTGTGTCTTTAGAAAGGAACACCAAAGACAGCCTACAAAGACCTAGGTTTCACAGACAGCTGCAGAGAAGGTATACTTGCATCTTGACTGTGCTCCCACGATTGAATATTCTTGCATAAATTAAAAACCTATGCAGGCAGCTTTCTCTTTGTGCTAGTTTTCTGTGTGCAGGGATTTTCTTTTTATAGAGGAGCATTCCATCATGTAATTCCCCAGCTGCTTTCTGAAGTGATGCAGCCCAGACAGGCAGGTTTACTTCCTTATCTGCTCTTGATGAGATGAGCTTATTTGTTGTTAACCAGTTGATACAACATCTTAGAAAGATGAAGTATTGTCAGCCTGGATCCTGACCATAACAAGTGTACTTTTGGATAGGCAGCCTTCCCTTCTCTTTAAAGGTATTCAATTAATTAGAATGTAGTCCTAAATAGGGTTGCTGATGTCCATGTGGGGGTTGGCGGTCTCCCATAATTACAACGGACCTTTAGACCACTGGGACCAGCTTCCCTAGAGAAAATGGCAGCTTTGGAAGGTGGACTGTATGGCATCACATCGCTGCTGAGCTCCTTCCCCTCTCCAAACCCCATCCTGCCCAGGTTCCATCAACAAATCTCCTGGAATTTCCTAACCCAAAGTTGGCAGCCTGAGTTGTAAACAGACTTACATACTTCTAAGCTTATTGGCTTGAGTTGGCTCAGAAGGGTACAGCTGTGCTTAGAACTGGACTGTGTTTATCTAGGACCCTGATGGTCTGCCTCAATTTAGGTAATCTGAGGTATCTGCCCATTCATTTTACAGTCCACTGATACTTAATATCCTAAGTTCATACCATAGTTGTATCAGGAACAAATTCCTGCCCTGAAGCAATTCAATATTGTTCTTTTAAAAAAAATCATTGGTAAGCTCATTTGATTTAGTAGATGTAATGTTGGTCTTGAATCTGGAGGACCTGAGTCGACTAAATCTCAGCTTTGCAACAGGTTTATTAAATGGCCTTTGGCAAGTCACTGTCTCAGAGGCCTCATTTGTAAAATGAGAGTAATGATCTTTTTCTAATAGGTCATTGTGAGGATGAATGAAATGAGGACTGTAAAGTACTTTATATACTAAAGGACCATCTTATTGGTTACTAACAATTACCAATCACCTAACAGGTTATCTTACTTTCATACAGAGTTTTCTTTTTGTTCCCAGGCACTCATCTTAATTTGAGCACTCATTAGTTAGGAACCACCTAAGAGGAATGTTACTTTTCCTTCTACGTGGCCATGGAATTCAGTGTCTGACAGGATCCTTCTGTTTACACAGCAACCACTTTTCATTGAATCAGTCTGCACCTTTACCCCCGCCCCTGAGT